TCAGCGGCTCAACCGCAGTCACGGCCCAAAGTCAGGTCCAATCAAGCCCAGACTCAGGCCGGCCCCTAGCCGCTCCCGCTGGGCCGTGACTACAGCCTGACCGCTCACCCTGGGCCGTGAATACAGCGGATGAGGACACTGGTCAGGGCTCTCCCTGGGAGGACGGCCAGGCCCCCGTGGGCGAACGTGTGAGCAGCCGTGAGCGGTGGGTCTGTCTGTGTGGGGGGAGAAAGCCGACGTGGTGCAGGATCAGTCAGCATCGAATCGGGGAATCGAATCGAATCGAATCGAATCGAGATGCGCGTCGCATCGGGCCACATCGAATCGGATCGTGCTGGCCGGAATCGATGTCGAATCAGATCGGTTGGGTCGAAATCTACCCTGCGCGGTCGCAACAGAGGGCAAAAGAGTCAAGGCGCATGCTGAATGCAGCCCAGCAGGACGAAGACCGGCTGACAGCGACGCTGTCGAATGATAGCGGTGTTTCCACACGTGGTGCGCCACTGTCTGGCAGCTCTGCAGCTTTCTCTCAAAAGGGGTTGCCTGTTTCGGCTGTCCCTGCCTGTCCGCCCCTGTTCCCCTCTGTCCCTCCCTACCCTCAATCCCGCGTGTGCAAGGCAAGCGAGTCGCTATGATGGCCAATTCTGATTCATATGCATTGCAGCCGATCTGCCGTCAGGGCGCATTGGCTTCTTCGTTTTGTGGTTGCAACAGATAGCTGACTGTGAAGCCGAAAACATCCCAGAGCATCATGCATCATGCGAGAGGCGCCGAAACTCGCCGAGAGGTGCGCTCGTCAGACGTTGAGGATTTCCTCAGCGGGCGCTGGTTGCGACGAGGCGCGGATGGAGGGCACGGGCTTCGGCGGTGGCGTCACCAGCGACGAAGCGCTGGCTCGAAATAGGGACCTCAAGCCTCCAGCAGACAACGATGACGAACGACCCTCTTGCTGGACGCTGCCCGCGCGCGGCATCGGGCGCAGCAGGAACTCCGGCACCCGGATCTCGGTGTCCCCCGGCATGGAGACGACGCCTTCGCCGCCGTCCTCGCGGGGAGACTCGTGGGAGTTCGTGGCGAGCCTGACGACGACCGTCGCGTAGCGATGGTCGCTGGCGCTCGACTTCATCTTTTTTTTCGTCTTCTTCTCGGCGTTGTTATCAGCTTCTCGGCCCGACTGGGCAGCTAGCAGAGTCTGGTTGGCTGACAGCCCGCCCAGCTTGCGGTCGAGCTCGCGTTCCATCTTTTGGATGTCCTCTTGGTCGCTCGCGGCCGAAGCCTTCTTCTGTCCTCGCCTATTCCCCCGGACCGCCTGCTCCATCTCCGCCTGGCCCTGCTCTGCCGCGTCCATCTCTCGGACGACCTCGGCCGACAGGAAACCGACCTCGACGCCCCTGTACACGCTGACGAGGTCTCCCCTGGTGTAGCGTCTCCGCAGGCGCTTGGACGGCATGTTCTTCAGCGCGGGCACACCGCCTTCTTCATCGTCGTGCTCACGCACGTTGTTGCCCTCCTCATCCTGCGAACTCCGCCGTGCGGGGACGTACCCTGCCGCCCTCTCGCGAGCTCTCTTGTCCCTGCTGTACTCATCGAGGTCCTTCTGCAGCTCGCTCATGACGTAAGTCCTACCGTCGTCCGCCAGCTGGTTCTCCAGCGTGACGTCGCACCCGAGCCTCGGGTCGAGATCGCTCATCGCCTTGTTGACTACGGCTGGGAACCACCTCCCATGCTTCTGGGAAAATATGCTCACGGGTTCACGCTCAGCTAACGGCAGTCGCAAGTCCTTCATCTCGACGTCGGGAATCTTCTGTCCCGCCGACACCACGTACACGTTGTAGTTGATCGTATTGATATCCAGGTTCTTGTCGAAGTGAACGGGCTTGAAATCGACGATCCTGGCTGGAAGCCATGTGTGGATGGTCTTCGACCAGTACTCCACAACCTGGCCTTTCTGAAACGCCGTGTGGGACGAGCTTGTGGCCGAAGGCCTCTCGATTGAGGGCACTGGGGGCGACCGAGCGGTCGCCTGCTTCTTCACAATCGCATCTTCGGTCTCAACGCTCAGATCATACGCGAACCAGGCCATCATGCCGAGGTCCTTGTTCCACCTGTACTCCTTCCAGGTGAGCTCGTCAATATCGCCGTCGAAGAGGGGCTCGTCCCCCCGCTCCGCCAGCGGATGCACCTCGATGCCAGCGATGCGTAGTTCTTCGAAATCGGTGTACAGCTCGTTGAATTTGTCGTTCCTGGGAGCGGGCGAGGTGCCAAGGACGAGCTTCGTGTCCACATTGTCGACGACGGCGCCCTGTCGTACGGCTTCCACGATGCCGTCGACCTTGAGAATATACGCGTCCTCGTTCGTGCTGTACTTGACGGAGAGCTCGTGCTTGTAGCCGTCGGCGACGTTCGTTTTGCCTGTGATGCACTCGTCACCGATCTGCCAGGCGGGGATGCCGTTCTTGATTACCAGGGCCTTCGACTTGCCGGTGCCGTACGGCGTCTCGCCGTCGGGGAAGACCTTCCCGATCACAAGAGAGTCCCGAGCCAACGTCATCACCTGTAGATGAATCTCAAAATCCACTGTGCCACTGAAGTCCAGGTCCACGGGCCCGATCGGATCCTCCGCTCCGTCCTGCGGAATCAAAGTGGCCAAGCCTGGCGTGCGCTCGCGGTTCTCATAGAACTGGGCCATCTCGTCAGGGCCGAGATTGTAGTGCAGCCTCGGTTTCTGCTGGCCGAGGGGGTCGTCGACCCTCGTCCATTCGATGTCAACCTTCCGGCCATGACGGCCCAGCCTGACACCCACAAACCCTCTCGTCGGTAGAACGATCATTCTCCGGACGTACTGGATCCAGCAGCAGCACACAATGAAGAAGGAGACGACAATCGAGCCTACCACGAAAGAGGCTTGCGACTCGCAGCCCTCGCCGGTGACCGGGTCACGGCCCGCGGGGCAGGTCCAGTCGTAGGGACACGAGGTGTACTCCTCGCAGTCTTTCGAGTAAGGCATGAAAGACTCCTGGGTGTAGTCCGGCGCGGCATTCGCGTTGCACAGCTCCACGAAGCCGGTCAGGCACTCCACTACGCGGGTCTGCTCCCCCTTGCCGCACAAGGTGCTACAACTCGACCAGTTACTGCGCAACACCCAGCGTGCCACTGGGAGGGTTGCGACGGTGGAGGCCGGCGTCCCGACGACGAGTGTGGCCGCGGTAAGGCCCTGCGGAACGACGACGTCGACATCCCGCAAAGCCGCAGCTAGCTCGCTGGTGAAGTTGCCCCCATCCGCGTTGAGGCTTGCCAGGCCACCCATGATGTTTGCTTCACTGTTAGTGGGATACACTTGGAACATAAGCCGCATCCACAACCCATGCGACGTCGTCAGGCGCCTCGAGGGAAGCCCAGACTGGTGATCGGAGTTGAGGCCCTTCACCACGGACACGTAGATCTGGCCAGTGGACAGGCCGAGGACCGCGCCGAACGCGCCCTTGATCGCCTCGAACTGCTCCCTGCCTGCGGCCCACTTGGCGGTGAGGTTTTGTAGTTAATATTTTTTTTGTAGTCATATTGGGATGATTAATATAAAGTTTTTTTTGTTTTAGGTGTTTGTTTTTATTAGTTTATATGTGAAGTTGTGTATGTTTAATAAAAGAAAGGTGTTTTTGGTTTAGGTGTTTGTCAGGATATTAAGTAAATTATTTGTTCTTTTGTTTATGTAAATAGTTATTTTTTTGTTATTTTGTTATGTTTGGGTAGAATATCGTGTAGTTTTTTTATTTGATAGATATATAAGGTTGGGTTTGTAGAGATTTTTTGTTTTTTATTATATTTACTCTTTTTTTTATTATTATATGTTTTTTAAGTGGTCCGAGCCTGGGCTGCTGCCGACGAGCGCCGCCTCCACGACGAGGCCCACTGCCGAGTCGAGCGCTTCCATATCCTCAGTGCGCACGCAGACCAGCGGGACCATGTCGAAAGCGCCCCTCGTGCAGTTGAGGGGGGCATGGAGCTCGTATGACGAGTTGCACACGGGCGTGCACTTCGCGCCGCTGGCGATGTCGATGCAGGACGAGCTGTCGACCACGTTCGGAATGAACGGCACAGTGTCTGCGTAACAGGCCTTCTCTGTGCACACTCCTGTGGTGTTGACCCAGGCGTAGGCCGTCGTGGCCGTACACTCGATCGACATAGGGTCCGCCAGGTTCTCGTAGCCATCGTCCACCGAGCACGAGACATTGCACGTCTGTGTGTAGTTCCTGTCAAAACAATCCTCGTCCAAGGGGTCGTAGCCGACTGGCATCTCTATGGGCGGGCTTCCCACGCAAACGTTTGGCTCGCACCTAGCGGTCCCCTGCCACTCCCCGTCTACGAGGACCGCCCCGTTCTCCGTGACGCTGCTGCAGAGGAGCGTTTCTGCCACGTGGTAGCCCTCCCCACAGACTGGAGTGCAAGTGTCGCCCCACTTGAAGCCAGTGCACTCGATGCGGAGCAGGTCAGGCAGGCTGGAGATGCTGTCAAAGTCGGGTCCCGCGACCCCTATGGGCACGGGGTCCACGTCTGGCCATGGGCACACGCAGCACGTCGTTGATGACGTCGACGTGAGGGTGGCTGTGGTGTACATCCACAGCTCTACGACAGGATCATAAACGTAATCCACAAACACTGTTGAATTTATGCCCTGGTCGGCCAACGCGGCTTTAATCGCGAGGGTCAAATTTGACTGGCCCGCCATCGTATCGTTCTCCAGTTTGGCCAGGGCGAGCTGGACGTTTTGATAGTCCGTCCCCGACACTTCGACGGTGTAGTCCACATGCCACAATGTGACGGCCGAGGTGAGCATCCTCTCTGCAGCAAGACGGCGTCGTAAGATTACCTCATACACGTCGTCGATGGTGACCAGAGACTTGCTGACCTCCAAATACTCCGAAATGGAGGACTGCGCTGTGATCTCCACCTCTGCCTTGGTGACCGTGGTGTCCAGCTCGACGCCAAACTGGGACTTCACCATGGAGAACCGACTCGGGGTGGCCGTCCCCGTGGTGTTGGTCAAGGTGATCGTCAGCGACGTGGTGCTGGACGCCGTTGTGGTGTGGAACGACGTCGTGGACGTGCCTGACGAGGTGTCGGTGAAACTCTGTGTGACCGTCGAGCTGCGGGTGGTCGTATGGGTCACCGTGGTGGTTGACGTTTTCGTGGTAGTGCGGGTGCTGGTAGATGTCACGGATGTCGAAATGGTTGTGCTCGAGGTTCCAGTAAGCGAAGTCTCGGAGGTCGAGGTCAGCGTTGACGTGTGCGTGATGGTCGTGGTGGAAGTTTTCGAGCTGAGAGTCGTCGAAGACGCTGTTATCGTAGTCAACGTCGTGGTAGACGTCCCGGTTGTCGCGGTAGCGGTCTCGCTGATGGTGCTCCCAGTGGTGAAGGACGCGGTCGTGGTGGAAGACGCGGTCGTGGAGGTCAGAGTGAGCGACGTCTCAGTACGCGAAGACAGCGTCGTGGTAGAGCTGCCGCTGCTTGTACTGACACTGGTTGAGCTAGAGAATGTCGAAGATGAGGCCGTGGTGGAAGTCAGAGTAGCTGAACTCTCGGTGGTGGAAGTCTGAGAGGTCGAACTCAAAGTGACTGTAGAAGCGCTCGTGGTGGAGCTTTCCGTTGTCGAGCTCGCACTGGTCGAGGATACGGTCGTGCTGGAGCTCTCGGTGGTGGAAGTCGGAGTGGTTGAACTCAAGGTGATGGTGGAGCTGTCCGTTGTCGAGCTCGCACTGGTCGAGGATACGGTCGTGCTGGAGCTCTCGGTGGTGGAAGTCGGAGTGGTTGAACTCAAGGTGGTTGTAGAAACGCTCGTGGTGGAGCTTTCCGTTGTCGAGCTCGCACTGGTCGACACAAAATACAGAATAGAGAAAAAAGGCGAGAAACTAAAAAAAAAAAAAAAAAAATAAGGAGTATAAGAACAACAAACCGGACATCCGTACTAGGCAGGACTCCTCGGTGGTGGACGTCTGAAGTGGTTAGACCCCAGGTGATTGTTGAGCTTTCCGTTGTCTGAGCTCGCACTGGACGTGATAAGGTCGTGGTGGAAGACTGATGTTGGAGCTCTCGGAGGTGGAATACGGAGTGGTTGAAACTCAAGGTGGATTGTAGAAACGTCACGTAGGTGGAGCTCTCCCGATGTCCGGAGCACGCACTGGTTCGCGGTAAGGTCGTGGAGGAAGTCCTGAGTGCTGAGCTCTCGTTTGTGGAAAGACGGAGTGGTAGAACTCAAGAGTGGATGTGAAGAAACGCTCGGGTGGAGCGGTCCGTGGTCGAGTAAAAAAAAACAGAAGGTGGGCTCGCACTGGATCAGGATACGTCGTGCTGGAGCTCTCGGTGGTGGAAGTCGGAGTGGTTGAACTCAAGGTGATGGTGGAGCTTTCCGTTGTCGAGCTCGCACTGGTCGAGGATACGGTCGTGCTGGAGCTCTCGGTGGTGGAAGTCGGAGTGGTTGAACTCAAGGTGGTGGTGGAGCTGTCCGTTGTCGAGCTCGCACTGGTCGAGGATACGGTCGTGCTGGAGCTCTCGGTGGTGGAAGTCGGAGTGGTTGAACTCAAGGTGGTTGTAGAAACGCTCGTGGTGGAGCTTTCCGTTGTCGAGCTCGCACTGGTCGTGGATACGGTCGTGGTGGAAGTCTGAGTGTTGGAGATCTCGGTGGTGGAAGTCGGAGTGGTTGAACTCAAGGTGGTTGTAGAAACGCTCGTGGTGGAGCTATCCGTGGTCGAGCTCGCACTGGTCGTGATTAAGGTCGTGGTGGAAGTCTGAGTGCTGGAGCTCTTGGTGGTGGAAGTCTGAGAGGTCGAAGTCAAGGTCGTGCTAGACGACTCGGTGGTAGACGACTGGGTGGTCGAAGACACGGTCGCGCTTGACGTCTCGGTGGTGGTAATCGTACTCGACGTCTCCGTGGTTGTGGTCCGGGTTGAGGAGGACGTCTCGGTGGCAGTAGTCATGGACGTCGTCGACGATTCGGAGGTAGACGACTGGGTGGTCGAAGACACGGTCGCGCTAGACGTCTCGGTGGCAGTAGTCATGGAAGTCGTCGACGATTTGGAGGTAGACGACAGGGTGTTCGAAGACACGGTCGCGCTAGACGTCTCGGTGGCAGTAGTCATACTCGACGTCTCCGTGTTTGTGGTCAGGGTTGAGGAGGACGTCTCGGTGGTAGTAGTCTTGGACGTGGTCGACGACTCGGAGGTAGACGACTGGGTGGTCGAAGACACGGTCGTGCTAGACGTCTCGGTGGCAGTAGTCATGGACGTCGTCGACGATTCGGAGGTAGACGACTGGGTGGTCGAAGACACGGTCGCGCTAGACGTCTCGGTGGCAGTTGTAATACTCGACGTCTCCGTGTTTGTGGTCAGGGTTGAGGAGGACGTCTCGGTGGTAGTAGTCTTGGACGTGGTCGACGACTCGGAGGTAGACGACTGGGTGGTCGAAGACACGGTCGTGCTAGACGACTCGGTGGCAGTTGTCATGGACGTCGTCGACGATTCGGAGGTAGACGACTGGGTGGTCGAAGACACGGTCGCGCTAGACGTCTCGGTGGCAGTTGTAATACTCGACGTCTCCGTGTTTGTGGTCAGGGTTGAGGAGGACGTCTCGGTGGCAGTAGTCTTGGACGTGGTCGACGACTCGGAGGTAGACGACTGGGTGGTCGAAGACACGGTCGTGCTAGACGTCTCGGTGGCAGTTGTCATACTCGACGTCTCCGTGTTTGTGGTCAGGGTTGAGGAGGACGTCTCGGTGGTAGTAGTCTTGGACGTGGTCGACGACTCGGAGGTAGACGACTGGGTGGTCGAAGACACGGTCGTGCTAGACGTCTCGGTGGCAGTAGTCATGGACGTCGTCGACGATTCGGAGGTAGACGACTGGGTGGTCGAAGACACGGTCGCGCTAGACGTCTCGGTGGTAGTACTCTTGGACGTGGTCGACGACTCGGAGGTAGACGACTGGGTGATCGAAGACAAGGTCGTGCTAGACGTCTCGGTGGCGGTAGTCCACCGACCCCTCTGGGACCTCTTGTCGCGTGGGACTCACCCTTTTGAATTCTCCCCCCGCCAGACTCAACTTTGCATAAATGAGAGAGGAGAGCGACTCCTGTTCATTCCCTGATTTTCCTGGCAGCTCATTCGGCCTCAAGGAGGAGTCCAAGACGGCTTAGAGTGCCAAGGAGAAGCAAGAGGGGTCCAAGATGGCCCTTGCAGACTCGACTCGATTCCAAGAGGCACCAGGGGCCCCAAAGACAACAGGCCGCAAGAGAGGCTCAAACATGTTCCAAGAGAGGCACAGGACAGTGAAAATTGACAAACATCTGTCAGTTGTTCATGTTGTTATTTGTACGTCCGGCCTCTGGGTTCAACATGGCTTCAAGATGGCTGCCAAACAGGGCTTCAAGGATGCTCCAAAACGGCCCAGGATGAGCCCGAAAGATCACCAAGTAGGCCGAACACGTCCTGGGTGGAGGAGCACAAGACGACCCAAAACAGCCTCGCTGCGGCCCAGGACGGCTCAAGAGGGCCCAACATGCACCGAAAAGACTGCCAAAGGCCTCCCAGAAGACCCTCACGACGGCCCAGCAGACTCTCCAAAGAACCCAAGACGGCCACAGAAGATCCCGACACGGTCCAACACGCCCCACGAGGCTGAAGAAATGCGCGATACCCCCGCAAAGAAAAGTCCAAGAGCCGGCCCTGCGATCCAGGACCGCTCACCCAGAGAGCCAGTTTCCAGGAGACCGCTTCCCCAAAACCATGTTTCCCTAGCGCCGCTTGCCCAGCCCATTTTCGAGAAAGACAAGTATCGCGTGGGGGGAAAAGAGAGGAAAGATACAGGACGCGATTGTGCAACACGCACACTCAACATGCGCGATAATACGGATGATCTGATCATATCTCCCCATTCCATCCCCCCACGGCAGAACTATTCATAGCGTTCTTGCCGCGGTCAACCCGCGGCAACTCGGGAGATCGAAGACGCCCGTGGCGGCGCTGCAAATCAGCCGCCCCCCCCCCCTCCCCAATCCCCGCGCGTTTCGACCCGGATCTCGGGCCGCCGACTGGCGCCGCCAGGGCGCCGCGCGCGAGAGCGACGACGACTGCAACCTCGAGGATCGCCAGCGCCCCCCCTCCTCCTCACGCCTCCTCCTGCTCCTGCCCCTCCACCTCCTCCTCCTCCTCCTCCTCCTCCTCCTCCTCCTCCTCCTCCTCGTCCTCCTCCCCTTCCCCCCCCTCCTCCTCCACCTCCTCCTCCTCCTCCTCCTCCTCCTGCTCCTCCTTCTCCCCCGTAGCAATGTTGGCTCATGTCCTCTCCGGGCCCCGCTCGGGGTCCAAAGGGGCCCTTGGCGCCGTTGCCTGTCTGGCCCCAGGGCGCCGCCGAGGCGGGAGGGCAGCCCCTTCCCCTGGCGGCCTCGGCGATTTTGGCAACGCGGCGTTCTCAGGGACCAGCTTTGTTCTCGCGGGCCCCCGGTGGGCCGGCTCGCCTCCGCGGCATTGCGCGCGGGCGGCAATGGGAAGCGCGGGGCGAAGGCTTGGAACCAGGAGCAGCAGGCCATGCAGCACGCGAAGTGCAGGGCCCGCGGCTACAAGTGGAACTGGGTCACCAGCGCCACATGCTTCCGCTGCCGCAGGGGCCTGCAGCCCGCGCGGTCGCAGGAGCGCGCGCCGTCGGGGGGTTGGGCGTCGCCGGGGGGGCCAGCGTCGCGGGCGGGCAGTCGCCCGAGGCGGACGCGGGCCACCCCCGAGGAGCTCCCGCGCCAGCTCCGCCCCGCCCTGCCGTCGGAGGACGTCGTCGCGGCCCAGCGGTTGCAGGGCCTCGCCCTCGCCCTGGCGCCGCCGCCCTCCGAGCGCGCCGACGCGGTGCGCTACGTGGCGCGGGCGTGCGTCCGCAGGGCACAGCACGCGCCCAAGGCGGCCATCACGGCCGTCGCCGACGCGGGGCAGTGGCTCGAAAAAAATGCACGGAGCAGGGGGGCGCCATCGTCGAGGTGGCCGAGGCCGAGGCCGCGGCCGCCCAGGCCTACGCCGACGCGGCCACGGGAGGCGCGGCCGCGGCCTCAGTCGCTCCCGCGGCGCCTGCTGGCCCCGCGCACCAGGGAGCTGCCCTCGACCTCTCCCGCTTCCTCGAGCAGGGCGCGGAGGTCCTGGACGTCGCCGCGGGATCCCTCTTCGACCTGGAGGGCCTGGACATCTCAGGTACCGAGAAGGCGCAGTTCCAGGGGCAGGTCACCACCTTCGTCGAGCAGATCAAAGGGGGAGCCCAGAAGCACTTCGGGCCCGTTGCCGAGGGCATCCAGTCCATGCGCGCAGAGCTCAAGAAGATGCAGGACCGCCCCAAGGCCACGCGGCCCCGCTCGGCGGCCCTCGAGCCCGCCGCCGCGGCCGCCGCGCCGCCGCCGCCCCAGCAGCCAGCAGGGAAGGGCGCAGGCAAAGGAGGAAAGGGCGCAGCGGGGCCAACTGCGGGGGGGGCCAGAGGGCACCCACGCCCCACCTCCTGGCCAGGGCACCGGGCCTGCTGCTGACTCTCCTGGGCACGGCGCAAGCGGCAGCGCAAGGACTCACGTGCGCCCCCCTCTGGACCCTGCCGGGCGGAATCGCATCCTGGCCAGAGCTGGAGGAGCCCCTGGGGCCCCAGTCAGGCGAGACTGACAGCGCGGCCTCTGCAGGCTGGAGCGCGGCACCACGATTGGCCCCCACCCCTTGCCAAGATGCTGCACGCATCCAGCGGCGCCCAGCTCGCCGAGGGCTGCGCCGAGGCCGCGGCAAGCGCCCCGCTGCTCCTGCGCTGCCCCCGCCCAGGGCCGCCGCCGCGCCGGGCAAGCAGGTCGGTTTCTTCAATGCCGGCTACGTGCTACGTATGCCTGCCGACGGTGGACACGCGCCTGGCGGCCAGCTCTTCGCAGGATGGGAGCTGGCGCCTGCGGCGACGAGCGGCGCCGCCGTGAGATCGCCCGGCTGCCGCCAAGGGCCTGATGGATCAAACCCCGAGCGGCGCCGAGCGCCGCGAGCCAAGTGGACCCTCGAGCACCGTCTACTTACCTACACGGGCCACTGGATGGGGAACCCACACACCATCGAGGAGGACATGGACAGTCAATGGTGGCGTCAGTATTGCGCCCCATCTGCCGCCAGGTTCATGGAGCACCCATGCCGCCTGGGCCCTCTCTTCCTAGAGCGCACGGAGCGGGACGGAACCTCCATGCCGCATGCCCGCGCGGACGTGGCCATCGAGATCTGCGTCGGGGACTTCCGCAGTCGTCGGTGCCAGCGGCCACGGTGCTCGCGGCGGGCGCGGCACCTCTCCTCTCAGGACCCGCGCGAATGGTTGAGGCGATGGCGAGAGCACTTCGAGGCCATGCGGCGTGAGATCGAAGACCTCGACAACGGCCAGGGCTTGGCACCTCCGCCATCGTGCACGGCGTCATCGACATGGACTTCCCCTCCCTCGCGCTGGAGGCCCAGGGCGAGGTGATCAGCCTGGCTGGCACCTCGGACCCATCCCGTGGCAAGGGGGCCAGTACAGGTATGATGATCAGAAGGCTAAGCGCCAGCATGACCACCTCGACGAGCATCCTCTAGGCCTCGACGCGCTCCTCTGCGCACAGGAGCACAAGCTCTCCTCGGACTCATCGGCGAGGTCAGTGCATCATGCTACGCCAGGCACCTCGCGGTCGGCCTCGCCGCCTCCGCCCTTCGCCCCGCAGGGGGGGATGCGTGCTGGAGTGGGCTTGCGTGGCCCCCGGGTGCGTCGGCCTCGCTCACTTGGAGGGCGTGGACACGCGCGACTTTTCGCCGCCAGACTCGCATGGGCGGCCGGCGGCCGCATGGGCGCCGGGCTTTCAGTGAAGAGGCCCCATGCTCGTCACGGCCTATTGTTGCACCGCCGAGGGATGGGCGATTCGGAAACTGTCAATCCTCGAGGCCATCGGCGAGCTGGTCCGCTCCTGCGACACGCCGTGGGTTCTGCAGGCCGGCTTCAGCAATGCGCCAGAGTCGCTCAAGAACGGGGGCTGGTGCAGCGACGTGGGGGGCATCATCTTCGCCCCTGCAGACGCCGCCTGTCAAGGCCGAGGCGGAGGCAGGATCATCGCTTTCTTCGTGGTGGACACGCGCATCGCGCACGCCTTCGCGGAGGCCCAGACGGCGGGCGCCCCCGCCCCCCCGCGCAGCCCTGTCTGTCGCGACCGCTGCGGGAGCTGACGGGCTGGCGTTTGGTCGCGCCTCGGGCCTTCCCCACTCGAGTGCCTGCGGGATGCAGGCCGCAGCCGCCCGAAGGGCCCCAAATCGACCCGAACGCGCACTGCTAAGACCAGCAGCTGGACGACCTCTGGCGCCGCTTCTCGTCGGCAGCGGAGACCGACCTCCGAAGGCTGTTCGACCTCCGAGGAGAGGAGGACTACAGGGGCCGCGGGGGCGCCCCACGATGGGCGCGCGCCCCGCTGGCGAGGCCCAAAGGCGCATGCGAGGCCGCGAGGCTCGACGCGCCCCCGAGCCCGGCGCCAGGTCGCCGCGCGCGCGGGCGACCTGATCCTGATGGCCGAGGCCGCGCGCAGCCAAGGCTGGGGGCCGTTGGCCAGCCGTTGGCGCCGCCTCCATCGGCGCCCCACCCACGGCGCCGAGCGCTGGTGCAGCGCCCTGGGAAACGACTCGGGTGAGATTCACCCGGAGCTGTCGTGGTTGGCTGTGCTCGCCAGAACGGGTGACGCGCTGCAGATCGAGGCCCCTCGGGCGATGGAGCTCCAGCGCCGCGCTCCCAGGGGGGCACGCGCCATCGAGGGCCCCCTCCAGTCGCAGCGAGCCAAGGCTTGGCGAGAGCGGCTGCGAGATGGCCCCGCTGGCGGCGCGGGTTTCATCCACCGCGCGTTCGAGTGGAAGGCCAGCGTCACCCCCGCCGGCGGAGCCAGGGGCCGTGCCAATCTGGCCATGACCGACCCGCTGATCGCCGTGGACGCGGCCGCCGTGGACTGGATCGACCTCTGGCAGCCCGGCGGCGCCGAG